GATGTCCTCTTTAACACCTTCCACATTTGCATATGTTTCTCATTAAGATGGTGTTGCAGTGAACAAAAAAAATGGTAATCTGATGGTGCCCTATCTGGAGAATATGGTGGGTGGGGGAGAACTTCCTAACCCAACTCCATAATCTTGTGTTGCGTCAAACGTACCACATGTGGACGTGTATTGTCGTGGAGAAGAACATCTTTCCGATTGACGAGTGAAGGGCGTTTCAGATGAAGGGCGTGATTTAAACGTTCCAGTTGCTGACTGTAAAATCTCTGCATTGACAGTTCGCTGTAGATTGAGAAGTTTGATATGAATTACTCCTCTGATGTCCCACCAAATGCAAAGCATCACTTTCTGCAGATGGAGTTCAGGTTTTGGGGTTGGAAGTGGTTTTTGTCTAGGACTGTGTCATTGTTTTTGGTGTTTAATATTCGCATATAAAATCCATTTTTCATCACTGGTGAGAATTCTGTCCAAAAATGGTTCACACACATTACGCGCCAGAAGAGACTAAGAAACTTTCACATGTTGGAAACGATGATCATCAGAGAGTTCATAAGGCACCTAAATACCTTTCTTTTCCCATATTCCTTAGATGTTTCATGAGAGACATGCAATTTCAGAGCCATTTCACAACAGTGTTGCCTTGGGTTAGACTCAACAAGCATCTTCAGAGCATCAATATCAATTCCAACATGTCGGCCCCTGCCATCACAGTTTTAAGGCTAAAGTCACCTGAACGAAATTTGCTGAACCATCGTTGACACTTACAAACATTCAAAACTTCTTTGATATTCTTTGTGGCAACAGAGGCATTGTTTCCCTTCTTGTATTCAAACAGCATTACATGCCAAATGTGTGTGTCTCATCGTGTGCCATCACTATAAGGGATTAGAGTATACTAAACTTTACACATTATATAGGCTACACTAACATGACGTTTAGGCAGTTCGTTTAACTATTATACGTGATTTACGTTTTTTGGGGTGTGGTTAATGAAAGTGTTCTAAAATGCGACATTAATTTCTTGACAACCTAATATAAGTTTCACAAAGTGCACAGTACGGCAAAGATGAATTTTAGTTACAATCAGGAGAACATATTGACACAAATTATGAGATTAAATTTCTGGACTGTACAGTGAGTATGACAAGAGAGTATGGCTACATCAGTACAAAGCAATAAGTCACATGTCTAAAAGTCCACAGGAGCACTTACAAAAGCTAGAAAAATGCTGATATTATGTAAATTAGATTTTCAAAGAAAATTAAAATATTCTCAATTGCATAAGTATTCAACCCCTTAATTATGGCAACTCTAAATCAGTTCAAGTGCAAAAGATTAGTGTGAAAGGTCACAAAATTAGTGTAATGGTCTCTGTCTGTGTGTAATCAAAGTGGTTTAACTTGACTTCTGAGTAAATGCATCTGTTCAAGCCACAACTCGCACAGTGATATAACAAACCGACCATGAAGATCAAGGAGCTTTCCAAACAAGTCAGGGATAAAAAAGTAGAGAAGCACAGATCAGGAGAAGGTTACAAGAAAGTTTCAAAGTCACTGATTATCCCTTTGAGTACAGTGAAGTCCATCATTAAGACGTGGAATGTGCTTCATACCACCTAGTTACTACCTAGATCAGGCTGTCCTTCCAACCTAAGCAGCTGGGCAAGCAGAAAACTGGTTAGGGATGCCACTGTGGAGCCAACAGTAAGGTTCCATATCAGTGTTCATACATCAACAATATTCTGGTCCCTACACAAAGCTGGCCTGTATGGGTAAGTGGCAAGAAAGAAGCCATTACTGAAAAGAATCATTTTAAATCTCGTGTGGAGTTCGCAACAAAGCATGCAGACATGTGGCAGAAGGTTTTGTGGTCAGGTGAGACAAAAATTGAGTTTTTTGGTCTAAATTCAAAGTGTTATGTCTTGTGCCAGCCTAACACAGCACATCACCCAGTCAACATCATTTCAACTGTCAAGCATGGTGGTGGCAGCATCATGTTATGGGGATGCTTCTCATCAGCAGGGACTGGAAAGCTTATCAGGATTGAGGGGAATATGGATGGTGCTAAGTACAGGCAAATCCTAGAGGAAAGCCTGCTTGAGTTTAAAATTCACATTTCAGCAGGACAATGACACAAGGCCAAAGCCACACTGGAGTGGTTTTAAAGTGAATGTCTTGGAGTGGCCCAGTCAAAGTCCTGACTTGAATCCAATAGAAATTTATTGCAAGACTTGAAGATTGCAGTCTATCAATGATCTCCAGTGAACTTATCAAAATTTGAACAATTTTGCCAGGAGGAATGGGCAAATATTACACCATCCCATTGTACAAAGCTGGTAGAGACCTATCCAAAAAACTCACAGCGGTAATTGCTGCCAAAGGTGTATTGATGTAGGGGGCTGAATACTTATGCAATCACCAAATTTCAATTTATATATTTTTTTTGAAAGTTTTGCTGACATTCAATCTCCTTTACACATAACAGTGTTAAGTTTGATCAGCTAATATTCAACCTCCTTCACACATAATAGTGTTAAGTTTGATCAGCTAACATTCAATCTCCTTCACACATAACAGTGTTTAGTCTGATCATTAGAGTTCTGAATAAAAACGAGTTCATTAAAAAATATTGTTTACATTATTTGTATTCATCAAAATGGGACGTTATTGGTTGGGGCGAATACTTTTGCAAGTCTCTGTATAACAGCTTCTTTTCACACCTTACAATACTGAATAAAAATGTCATTAAAAGTAAACCTATGGGTGCTTTTTACAGTGCTTTTGAAAGCTTTTCTTTTAATTAACAGAAACTAAATATACATATACATGTGGTCACACATGCATGCATAGGCAAATGCAAATCTAATTATGTATGCTATTTGTCCCAGAAAGACCATGTTTAGTCATATATATATATCACACTACAATTTTAAATACTCTTGAGGAAAGCATAAATATATTATTTATTTTGTTAGGTATGTATGTGTAGATATTGCCTCTTACTGAAGTTAAAGATAATTTTTGTTTTTATTATATGTAGAGTAGTAACATGACCTTTATTTTGCAAATAGTAATACAGTAGGCTAAATTAAATATCAGTGAATGGTTTGTCTTTTCAAGCTGTTTTGTTCTGTGAAATTAAAATAAACTATAAATGCTGCGAAACATCTCTGATAGCTTATAATTATGGTTAATGAAATTATTGAGTCTGAACAAGATGTTATGCAGTACTGTGGTAATAAAAATATAATTTTAATGCAGAATACCACGTTAGTGGTGCACTATAAATAAAGTTTAGCTCCAAATTCTAGGTAAACAAAGCTTTAACAATATAACCAGAAAACTGAAATACAGGCCTATATAATTGTGAAATGATGTACAAGTTGAGCTGTAGTAATAATACTTTCTGTTTAACTTTATTTAGGAACACTTGCAGGTTCTAAATAATAGTACAGTATACATACTAAGCAACAATAAACAAAAGATATTAACAAACACACATCATTATACATCGAAGTGTTTCAAGAGTAATTTTCTGAAACAATTTTATTTTTCAGTTCTCATTCTAAACTTTATACTATATTAAAATGCAGTCATGGACAACAACCTCTCATTTCTTTATTACATACCTCCAAACTTCATCATATGTACAGTTTACAGATTTATTACATACCTCCAAACTTCATCATATGTACAGTTTACAGATTTATTACATACCTCCAAACTTCATCATATGTATAGTTTACAGAATGTAGCTGGTGTTCTGCCATTCTTGGGTCTCTGGTAAGGTTCTCGCAATTCGATATCAATTACTAACTAGTTTTTATTCTATATTTTGGTTGCTATTTTCATGGAAGTCCTGAAAAGGACCATTTTTGTGTTGGTAGTGGGTGGGAAAATCAATCCTTATTCTTGTTGATGGAAGTCTGGTGCACTGTTTACGTGATTGGTTCATATCCTATATTTTAGCATTTATCCAGTTTATCGTATGGTCTTCTCTGGAATAATTGGCTATTGCAGATAGATTAGTGTTACTGAGACTTGTGTTCATTATGATCCTGAGTTCTAACCTTTACTTGTCTTTTTTTTTTCTCAAATGTTATTATTGTACCCTCTCACGGGGGATGCCGTTAATGATGTTTTCCCTCTCCATTGAATCTAAATGGTTTGGTGGGTACTAGTTGTGATCATATTGTGCTGTGGATTCTGAATGCTGTTCTTTAAGTCATTTAGATATCCCTATATATTTAAAATGCTATTCTTTATGTCATTTAGATATCTCCTATATATTTTCAGAGAGACCTCAGACATAATGGAATTTGGTTATATGTCTGTAATTTTCATCCTGTTTATTCCTGGTGTTTATCTTTAATTTTCTTCTGTGTCAAATGTTCTGGGTATCCATTGTTAAGGAGGGATGTAGTGATGTGTTTTTCTTTCATCTTCTTAGCTTTATTGGCATTACAAATCTTGTTCATTCTGGAAACTAGGCAGTCTATGATGCTTGTCTTTATGCTTTTGCAATGGTATAGTCTAGCTATTTACCTGTATCTGTGGATTTCCTATAAACTCTTGTGATATGTGACTTGGTAACCATCACGTCAAGGAATGGGAGTTTTTCAGTTTCTGCTGTGTAATATATGTTGTCTGTTCATGTAGTTTATTAATTTGTGAATCTTCTTTGTAGTGTGTGTGGCTGTATTACGAATGTATTGTCAACATATCCAACCCAAGTTTTGGTGCACAGAAGGGCTGTTTTTAAGGCATTAAATTCGAAATGTTTATGTCAAGGTTACTGATTGGACTATGATAATATGGGTGAGCCCATAACTAAGCCATCTTGTTGTTGATAGTATTCACCTCCAAGTTGGAAGTAGATTGTGTTGACACATTATGTTGTGAGTTCTGTTATTGTGAAGATTGTTAGTCTGGCATGTTCCTATACAGTTCTATCATTTTCAACTGTTGCAAAGTAGCTGTAGTGTGTCAGGGGTTGGTATGTTAGTAAAGAGATTAGATATATCAAAGTTAATTATTTTAAAACTCTGTGTTATTGATTTTGCTTTTAGTTTAATATTAGTCTAAAGAAACAACAAAAGCTGAATGGTGTTAAGTTTATCCCACAGAGTGTTACAAGTTCATCAGGGTTTGAAGATAGACATTGAGAAAAGTAGCCTAGTGGTTTGTCTCAGGATCAAATGTGGGATGTCCACAATACCATGATCTATGTAACAATACCTGTTTTGTGACATTTAGTAGAGGAGGCCATTAGTCAGTGCTGTTATTTATTAACAAAACATTTGCTCCAGCTGGATTCTGTTTGGCTTCTTTGTGTCTAAAAAAATAGCTTCTTGCATACATTATAAAGTATGTATGGTAGTTAGAGCACTCGACTCTCAATATGAGGGTTACGGGTTGAAATCTCCTTCGCCAAACATGCTCGCCCTTTCAGACTTGGGGAATGTTATAACGTGATGGCCAATTCCACTATTCATTGATAAATAAGTGACCCAAGTGTTGGCAGTGGATGGTGTTGACTAGTAGCCTTCCCTCTAGTTTATCACTATTAAATTGGGGATGGCTAGTGCAGACAGCTTGTCACGAACTTTAAAACAAACCCAGTGATATAAGTGTATTTTTTTCTTCAGCTTCTTCAGATGATGAAGATGATAAATTGAAACAGCCACCTGATGAGATGGACAGCTTTCATTACTCACAACCTATTCATGCCATAGGAGATGATCCTGATGCTGCATTTAGAGAAAAGCTAAGAAACATGGGAAAATGTAAGATCCTTAATTATAAATGTGCTATGACTCGATTACCCTGCTAAATAACCTGTCAATGATGAGGCATCGTATTTAGAAAAATATTCTAATTGTAACATATTTTATTACTTGTGAATGAATGCTTAGTTAATTATAATTAATTTGGAAATGTTAAAGAAGTATTAGTTATGAATAAGGTGGTTGCAAACATTGTGTTTTACTTAACAGCAATTTACTTTGAATATTCAAGTTTCTGGTGCAAAGCCTAACCTTTTATTCTAAATTTCCCGACTTTACACTTCCATCACATTTTCAATGAATCATGTTTTATACTCTCTACAGAATGGTTCAGGAACATTCTATGGAAAAATTATGAATTCATAATTGTTAATTTCGGATTTATCTTTTAAAAATACAATTTCTAGCACACTGTTCTTTCTCTTGTAGTGAAAATGAGAGATTACCAATGTTGAATTTGCCCTGTATTTCAGACTTCTTGCTTTTCCTGAGTCATGAACATGTTAAACATTCTCACACTGTTTTACCTGTAGAATAAATTAAATATATATATACAACATCCTAGAAATTTAAATTCCTTTCAGGCACCTTCTGCAAAAAATATATTTAAAACGCAACAACGAATGGACTTGTTTGAAAAAAAAAAAGGTGAAAAATAGATAATGCTGTGTGGCACCTTTTTATAACCCTGAAAGATATTGATAAACAGAATATTTCCTTGTGTTACGTCTTATATAGGGGCACAATCTTGAGGCTCAAAAGGAACATGTTGGAGAGTATAAGCTCATTTATCTGAATTAACACCTGTTTTTTTTTAAGATGACGAATTATTATCAAGCTATTATCACTAAGTAATATAATTTCTGTTTATATATATATATAATATAGATGCTATAGAAAAACAACACATTAGCAGTCATTATTAGTAAGCACATGTAAATTGAATGACTTAAGAAAACTACCAGTTGAATAGCAAATGTTGTGGATATTTTTTTATGTAAATAATTAAGATGTAAGAAAAGTTACATTCCAATATAGAATGACATGTATCAAATTACGTAAGAACTATTATCATTTTCAGTATCGAAACGCAAGTTTACTCAACTTGCTAAGTTGTTCTCCCGAAGAAAAAGATCGGGATTCCGTCAGTTGTATCCTTTATAAAAAAAAATTACTTAAATTATCTATCACTTCATAGTTATGAATGTATTTGTATAAATAGTGATTAAAAGTAACAACACTCATTCTTATAGTGTGTTAAATTAGATATTAGCTCCCTTCCTACTTTTATTTTAAAAACTGTTATCAGTATGTAGATATAGTGTACCTGTTTTCTTTTTCTTTTTTTTAGTAATGTAACACACTTTTAACTGCAAGAAGCCATTTTTTTTGTGCTTCACAGTTATCTTGATCCAACTTGGAGAATAAAAACTGGTTATGTAACCAGAATACAAATTGACTTTGTTATATACATGATTCTTTAATATTATTTGTTACATCTAATTTGTCCTGCATTATTTATTGAGGTAATACATGTGGCCTAAAGTTTCCTAATCAGAGATTCTGTCATTGTTTACATTACCAAAGTCAGCATGCATTATAAAATTACAAACTTTTTTTTTTGATAGACTGTACTTGATTGACTAAATAATGAAAATAGTTACAGTATTGTATTTCTAGATAGGTTGTAGTTAATACATCTAATGATTGTTGACCGGGTCCTTTTCACCTTTATTACTATGCCTTACTTTGATATCGCTTGTTATTTCCAGCAACTATTGTTTTTTCAGTTTCGTTGTTACATGTTTAACTACATGTACCGTACTTTGAAAGTTAGCCTTCACTCTCTTTTTCTTTACATTTAATATTGTTTTTAATGTTCTTGTTGTTGTGTTTTTATAATTATTATCAGTTATTTCATAGATTAACTTTAAAGCTTAGTATCAGTAGATAAAGCTGGGACAGACTTGTGATGTGTTTCATACAATGTTACTGTAATGTAAAAATATTTTTCGATTTAAGTGATATGGATATATATAGTAACCTGTGTAACGACATTTAACTTGTATTTCAGAATTGACCCATGTGTGTATTAGTCACTCTTTTTATATTGTATCATTCTCCTGTTTGTCTTTATTTGTCATTACATGTTTTAAACATATTTAAACCTTTTTTTTTTTTTCATTATAAAGTATATTGTTTTGTAGAACTTTCAATATTAGCTAAGTGCTATTCAGGGAATGAAGATTATATGTTGAATCTGTATAACAAAATTTCACCTTGATTTGCCATGAATCAGCTTAGGGGATGGAACCAACCCTTCACAAGACAACTTGTTATTAACTGAAGATAATAACTCTGAAATCTCCGAGGAGGATTCTGATAATAACTTGAGAAAGGATGATACTTGGAATAGCCATGTTAGTTGGTTTTGATGTATATTTATCTTAAAATGTTCTAATTAGTTATCAAGGTTGAATGACTTGTTTTAATTCTCACATTACCAATAATTAAGATATGATCATCAGAACATATGTATACTTGTCTTAACCGAAATTTATCCATATTGGTAAGAAATCTACCATAATATTAAAACTGTAGATATATAAATTACTCATATTAGGTTGGTATTCTAAAGGTATCATCTCTGCCTATATAAGCTATAAAAATGAAAACATTTTTGTCTTGCCAGGTTTATTTGATACCAGAGTTATTCTGTGGCAGTTAAAAGCCTCTTGGGCCAAAATCCCAGTCTCCTTCCGCCATTTATATTGATTTCGCAAATGCATAACTTTGGAAAGTATTAGTGATATCTAGTAGATCTATGGCAATCAAAGTAATGGAGGAACTGATGAGAAAGCTGATGCTCCTGTGGCTTCTTTTAAAAGTTTCCAACTTGAAGCACATGTAGAGATAAGCTTGTGTATCATGTTATTCAGTAGAAACAAGTTAATGATGGAAGTATGTGGTGTATACTACTAAAAAAACACCACAAAAACAATGCAAGCAGTGAGCTTTAGATTACTGACGTTTAATGTAACCATTAGTGTTTTCCAACAAACTACTTAATTCATACATTGAACCCATTCCAAGTTCATGCCTACAGAAACCCATATTTAAGGATGTCAGTGAGCTAGGAAAGCCATCTTTTTTGAGTTATTGAAATTTAGCCTGTATTTTTGTTCGAAGCTACTGGAACTGCTTATTAATATATTAGGCCATCATTCACCATCAGAATACATAAGAGCTAGAGCACAGTCAAATACAGACTTAAAATAGTTACAATAATTTGAAAGACCACCTGAGACACGTCATTGCATATTTCTTTCATTTTTTGGAAATTAAAGACATTGGTTTTTACCATGTCATTGGTATTTTATGTTAACCATACTTCAATTGGTTGTTGGTTCAAAATTTAGATTAGTTCTAGCAACAACCTTTGAATAGAAACTGCTCTTACATAATGCTTTCTCAGTTCTGTGAAGTTGGTGTCGAAAATTCCTTATAATCAACTTTTATGCCTTACATGAAGTAAACAGTGAGTACTAAACATTAATTTACTGAGATTCTTTTTGTACCAGTGCTTATAATTAGATTTGTTGAGTGTCCAAAGTCAAAATGTGTTTGGGTTAATTTAAGATAAGAGAAACTTGTCATAATTGAAGACAGTCTTCACCAAAATATGTAACTAACAGTTCTAATAGAAGGTAAAAATAATAGCACACTGCCAGGAATTGATAATTATCCATGTTACTAAAAATGTTTTACTTGTCATAACATCTTCAACCATAGATGAGAGAGATATGTGTATAAGTATTTGGATTTTTAATGCCTCACTAGGTAATGTTTGGTTGGAGTTAAGACTTCATATCCAGTTTGAGATCTCACCAAACCAAGATATGACTAAGATCGTAGATGTGGTATAGAGATTGTTTATACAGAGGGTTGAGTAGGTTGTATTAGAATGATTTTGAAATTGTAGGTGACAACCACGATCACTCTAAAGATGTTGTGAAATGGCATGTGTCAGAAATACATTTTTATGTGGGTAATGTGATGCCACTAAAAATTGATTGCTTTTGGGAAGGGCATTTAACAGGGAAAATGTTCGTACATTAAGATCATAAAGGTGCATTCAAATAGGGAACTTAGAATTTTCAAGACTGGGATATCCTTTGTACTTAATGGCATTGAAAAATGAAGGAATATGGATCAGTTTGGGACACCAGGACCATCCAGAAAGAGATTTGTAACTAGCTGTACCTCAGCCTTGATAAGCAAAGCATAGCATCTTGTAACAGGTGAAAACCCATGAACGCAAAGACAAGGGGTAAAGCCTTCTACACGTCTTAGGCAATACTACACAATTAAGAAGGATCTCCATGTGGAAAAGTAACACAAATAACATGTACACAAGTTTCCTCCATGACATATCCGATCAACTCTCGTATACTTTAAGCAGCTTGAGAATGAAGTGGGTGTTAAAGCTATTCCATATGTAAGATATACCAGTTAAGTCACCAGATGCAAAAGCTATAGATTTCTGTGCATTTGGACTATTAAAATGACCACTAGGTAACTGTTGTTCTCATACAATAGATGGAGTATGGAAAACAAGCGTATGGGAGTAGTGGTATTGTCTTGACATGACAACTTTACTAAAAAGCATTTTACAGTTAAAACTATGCTGCAGGGCTATTGTCAAGATGTACGGCTGTCAGATAGAGCAGGACTATACATTAGAAAATGATTTATAATGGCATGATGAGGCTCCAAAATCATTTTGATATAATGTATACAACCTCTGTATATTATTGTGTCAATAACAATTGTTAGTAATATATAGTAAATTAGACTTCTTAGAATTGTAACTTACATATCATTGTCCCAGTTCATTTTTAGTATGAAGGAACGAATACAGAAGGATTCTTTGGCTGTTTTTCTTTATTAACTTCCCAATTTTTGGGCCTTCTAACAACATGCCCAAATTATTTCTATTGTAATGTTCATATTGTAACTCGTGGTGTAAGCATTTAAGAAAAATAACTTCATAATTTATTGATTACTGCATACATTTTTCATTGGCTGGAATGTACATTACAGGATTACCTGCCTTAGAAAGCCACACGTACGTGGTATAGATCGTTGATTTACCAACAGTTATCCTTTAAATGTTATTGACTTTACATCAGAGGTGAGGGTTAGGTTTATACACTATACGTACTGCCACAATGGCAATGTCTGATATAGATTAGCCTAACTATGTAATATACCTGTAGAGTATAGGCCATTTATAATATGTTTCCTGTTATTCTTACAGGAGATTTAATTATCTTTTAAGGAATTATTTAAATCCAATGTTTTTACATTGTTCAGTAAGGGCTGCAGTGGAGTCTGTAATATATCCAGTAAGTTACATATGCTACCTGACACAGCAGCTGTCATTTTATTTGAGAAAAAAAAAAGTACCACGATTCACCATTTTGTGGTTGAATAGTAAAATGGAACAATCACATCGTGCCTTTGATGCTCATTGAGTACATTATTATTTGACGGTTATGAAGAAGATATCAGTACATTATCATTTGGTGGTTATGAAGATGGTATCAGTACATTATCATTTGACGGTTATGAAGAAGGTATCAGTACATTATCATATGGTGGTTATGAAGAAGGTATCAGTACATTATCATTTGGTGGTTATGAAGATGGTATCAGTACATTATCATTTGACGGTTATGAAGATGGTATCAGTACATTATCATATGGTTATGAAGATGGTATCAGTACATTATCATATGGTGGTTATGAAGAAGGTATCAGTACATTATCATTTGGTGGTTATGAAGATGGTATCAGTACATTATCATTTGGTGGTTATGAAGAAGGTATCAGTACATTATCATTTGGTGGTTATGAAGATGGTATCAGTACATTATCATTTGGTGGTTATGAAGATGGTATCAGTACATTATCATATGGTGGTTATGAAGAAGGTATCAGTACATTATCATTTGGTGGTTATGAAGATGGTATCAGTACATTATCATTTGGTGGTTATGAAGATGGTATCAGTACATTATCATATGGTGGTTATGAAGAAGGTATCAGTACATTATCATTTGGTGGTTATGA